CGTTGTCATGGCAACCAGAGAGCTGAGCGCTGATTGGACGGACGATATTTGACGTGCTTGGGGATTGGCCCGAGGGAGGTCGCCGTGGGATGCGACTCTCACCCTTATGGCATGAATTTTTTAGAGCCGTCTGTGGTTCTCTATGGATATGTTCGTACAATTTTTTTTTACCCATTTCTGTACATCTTGAAAACACCTTTCGCACCATAAATCTTTGAAAAAAAGGAGGTGCGGAGAGATGATTTGCTTCGCCAGTCTGAAGCGTGATGTAACATTAGTTCATTACGAAGGAAAAAGACATCGAAAATAGATTGCAAGGAAATGTGCTATTTGGCGACTCAAGCGCACAGTAGGCCCAAAAGAAATTATCATTTGACATTTCCAAATATCACTATTTCTCTCCCTCTCTCTCTCTCTTTCTCTTTCTCTCTCTTTCTATCTTCCATTTTTTTCCGTACGTGGCAGCATGTGGATGTTCTCGGTTTTTATTTCTATCCGAGAAAGATTAAATGTTCGTCGTGCTGAAGCGTGGAAAGAAATTTGGTTTTGCAATTGAAACGATGGTGCAACTTGCAGCGACGGGTGAGTTGACATCCGGGCAAATTATCGAGACATCAGTATTATGAGGTGTTGTTAAATGATGGCAGTGTTGTGGTTGTTATTATTTTATTTATTTATTTATTTATTTATTTATTTATTTATTTGATAATAATAGGTTTTGATGTTATTGTTATTATTGTTGTTGTTTTTTTGTTATTATTGGTTTTAATATTGTTAGTGATATGATTATTGTTATTATTAGTATATTTATCAAGATTATTATTGATTGCTGTTGTTGTTGGTATTATTGTAGTGATATGATTATTGTTATTATTAGTATATTTATCAAGATTATTATTGATTGCTGTTGTTATTGGTATTATTATTATTGTTATTGTTATTAGTATTATCATCACCATCATTATCATTTTCATTATTAACGATAATGATATGGTAATAATAGTAATGTTATCATTGTTATCATTATTATTGATCATTATGGCAATATTGATAATGTTTAGTGATGATGTTGATGGGATGAATAACCCGTCAAACATTAATAAAATTGATAATGATAATGTACGAGTTTACCTTGTCAAATACACATCCCGTTTTCTTTACTATCGATGCATCCTCTCCGTTTTCGACGATTTTGTTTTCAGGGAGAAAGCGAGAGAGAGAGAGAGAGAGAGAGAGAGAGAGAGAGAGAGAGAGAGAGAGAGAGAGAGGTGGGGGGGGATGATGGGAGGGGGATCGGTACACAGACACCTGCATACAAAATACATCTATTTCTGCATACGCATCTGCCTGCCAATTTATACACCGGCCTCCAGCCATGCTCAATTTTCCAATTCAGTTTCGTCCTTTATTATTCCACGGGGAAACAGACACACACACGCAGATACACATACACAGACATACGAACAGATTTACCCATAAATGCATGCATACACACACGCACACGTGCACACGCACGTACACACACACGTACACACACACGTACACACACACACACACACACACACACACACACACACACACACACACACACACGTACACACACACACACACGTACACACACACACACACGTACACACACACACACACACACGCGTACACACGTACACACACACACACACACACACACACACACACACACACACACACACACACACACACACACACACACACACACGTACACACACGTACACACACACACACACACACGCACACACACACGCACACACACACACACACACACACACACACACACACACACACACACACACACACGTACACACACACACACACACGTACACACACACACACACACACACACACACGTACACACACACACACACACGTACACACACACACACACGTACACACACACACACACACACACACACACACACACACACACACACACACACACACACGTACACACACACACACACACACACACACACACACACACACACACACACACACACACACACACACACACACACACACACACGTACACACACACACACGTACACACACACGTACACAAACACACGCACACGGAGCTGCAGGCGGCGCGGCGCTGGGTGCAGACAGGCCGTGGGAGAGCAGACCAGACAGGTACGCTTAGGCCCACCTGTCAATCATGCAAGAACACAAGACCTGTTGTGCGGCGAGCGAGGCGGGGTGGGGGGTGGGGGGAGGAAGGAGAAGGTGGGTGTAAGGGAAAGGAGAGGAGTGGGGGGGGTAGGAAGGGAGGTGAGAGGAGGGGAAGGTGGGGGTGGGCGTGGGTGGGAGGGAGGAGAAGGTGAGGGAAGGGAAAGGAGAGGAGTAGGGGGGGTAGGAAGGGAGGTGAGAGGAGGGGAAGGTGGGGGGGGCGTGGGTGGGAGGGAGGAGAAGGTAAGGGAAAGGAGAGGAGTAGGAGGGGGGTTGGGAGGAAGGTGAGGTGAGGGGAGGGGAAGGTGGGGTAGGGTGGGGGGAGGAAGGAGAAGGGGTAAGGGAAAGGAGAGGAGTGGGGGGGGGTAGGAAGGGAGGTGAGGGGAGGGAAAGGGAAAGAGAGAGGACGAGGGAGAGGAGGGAAGAAGATGAGAAGGAGCATAGTTGGGATGAGGGGGAGAGCGAGGGAGAAAGCGAGGAGAGAGAAGAGGCGAGGAAGGAAGGGTTGAGAGAGAAAGAGAACACAGGATATGATATTGTTTCTGTTCTACATTCTCTCTATCTCCCTTTCTTTCGTCTCCACTTCCTCTCCTCCTCCTCCTGTCTGTGTGTGTTTGTGTATTTCTTTGTTTGTCAACGTGTTCCTGCGTGTTTACACATTCGATGTAAGAATATACAAACGTATTTGTATAGGCTTACATACATACACATAGAGAAGCATACATACATACATACATATACACATATGTATACATACATACCTACATATACACACATAGGTATATATGCATACACATAGGTGTGTATATATATGCATACACACATTTATACATAAGCTTTCCTACATACATACATAGGCTTACAAACATATGTATCCATATTTAGTGATTGCCCCCCCCCCCTCTCTCTCTCTCTTAGTGAATTTGTGTTGGACAGAAGGGTGACATTTATGGAGCGGAAGAGGGGGGGGGAGCTACACGATTTTTCTCTTTCTTTCTTTCTTTCTTTGTTACGATGATAACGAAAGGGTGGAGGATTAAGGAAGTGAATACCGTTCTATTTTAATTCCATTGTTATTTCAGTGGCTGTTATTGTGATTATTATGATTGTTATTGATATTGATATTACCTTTACTATTACTCTTTCTCTTATAACTGATATTATTTGATTGTTGTTATTGTTATTATTATTATTATTATTATCATTATTATTTTATCGAACTGACACTTGAAACCATAAAACATTGTATATTAACAGCAAGTGTTGATGTCAGGCACAGGTGTTTTTTTGCTGTTTTTTTGGTTGTTTCGTTGTTTCTTTCCTTGCTTTTATTTTCATTTATATTGTTTTATTGTTATCATTATGTTTTTACATTGATGGCGGGGATAATTAAAAGTTCGTGGGAGGGCAGAGGAGGAGGAGGAGGAGGAGGAAGAACAAGAATAAGAACAAGAACAAAAAGAGGAGGAGGAGGAGGAGGAAGAAGAGGAGGAGAGGTAGGAGGTGGAGGAAGGCGAATGAGGAGGAAGAGGAGGTTAGGGGATAAAGGATAAGAAGGTGGAAGAGGAGGAGGAGGAATAAAAGAAAAGAGAGGAAGTTGGAAACAGGGAGGAATGGAGAAGGAAGTGGAGTGCGAGGAATAAAAGAGGGAAGAGGAGGAGGGGAATAGGGAGTAGGAGGAGAAAGAAGGAGGAGAAAGAAGGGGGGAAGGGATATTTTAATGATCTCGGCCGGACGGTGTTTGATGTTTAAACGTCAAGTATGTCCCTCTCGTAACTTTTTTTTACATTTATTTTTTTATTTTTATTTATTTATTTATTTTTTTGTTATTTTTTGCTGTGTTTTTGTTTCTCTGTTTCCGGTTTTGCGTTGAATTATATTGTTATTGTTATGATTTCTTTTGTTGTCCATGTTTTTTTTTTCTTTATTAACATAATCGTCACCTCATCGTCATTGTTATTATTTTTTGGGGTTATTCCCTGTACTATTTTTACTTTTTCTTGTCTCCCTGCTTTATTTCCTTCCATTTCTTGGTTCTTTCTTTCTTTCCTTTCCTTCGTTCCCTTATTCTGCTTTCTATTCCCATGCATCTTCTTTCTTTCTTTCTTTCTTTCGTAATTTCCATTGTTTTTCTCTTCGTAATTCTTCGTCGTTTCATTCATTCTTCTCTTTGTTTTTGTTTCTCTTCTTTCGATATTTCTTTATTTCTTTATTTCTTCGTGTTTTTGGTGTTATTGTCTCCCTCCTTCATTCATTCATTCATTCATTCATTCATTCATTCATTCTTATTCGCCGTCTCTTTCTTTCATGGCTTTCTTTCCCTCTTACTTTCATCCATGTTTTTTTTCTTCTTTTTCCTTAACTCCTTCCTTCTGCCCTTCCTGCAATCGTTCATTCACCCTTCCTTCCTTCCTTCCTTCCTTCCTTCCTCCCTTCCTTCATATTAACCGCCTCTTCATCCCTTCCTTTCTTCCTTCCCTCCCTCCCTCCCTCCCTCCCTCCCTCCCTCCCATTAACCGCCCCTTCTTCCGCAGGTGCGTGTGTTCGCGCGACCCAGCAATCATAAGCCGTCGCTTCCTTCTTTCGTTCCTTCATTTATCCCTTCCTTCATCCGTCGGCCCTCTCTTATCCGTCACTCTCTCGGCAGGTGCGTGTGTTCGCTTGTAGACACGCGCGACCCAGCATTCTTTTAAGCCGTCCCTTCCTTCCTTTATCCCCTTCTTCCTTCCTCCCTTTCTTCGTTCCTTCATCCCTTCCTTCACCCGTCGGCCTTCTCTCATCCGTCCCTCTTTCGGCAGGTGCGTGTGTTCGCGTGTAGACATGAGCGAGGACACGGACGCAGCGACGCAGCAGCACGGACAGACTTCAGAGATCGCGCAGCATCACCATCCGCAGACCACTACTCTCGTCACCATGCAGGCCGCACCCGCAGGCCAGCCCATTGTGCCGCAAGTGTCGCCGCAGGTGAGTTTTTTGCATGCGGGAGAGCGGGAGGGATGATTGTTGCGTTGTCTTTTTTTTTTTTCTTTTCTTTTCTTTTCTTTCTTTTTTTTTTTTCTTTTTTTGCCTTTCTTCTTCTTCTTCTTAATCTTCTTTTTTCTTTTCCTATTCTTTCTTCTGCTTATTCTTCTTATTCTTATTCTTCTTTTCCTATTCTTTCTTCTGCTTATTCTTCTTATTCTTATTCTTCTTTTCCTATTCTTTCTTCTGCTTATTCCTTTTCTTCTCCTGGTCGTCTTCTCCTTCTCCTCCTCCTGTTCGCCTTACTCTTCTTTCTTCTTCTTCTGTTTTCGCCACTTGGACGTCGGGTCCGGCTTTCAACTGTGTTATTGTTTTCTTTTTTCCTCCCATTATTGTGTCTGTGTTTCTTTCTTGCTGGAGCCTTCTTTCTTTCTATCTTTCATTTTCTCTTTCTCTCTTACTCTCTTTATCTTTCTATTTCTCTTTATCTTTCTATTTCTCTTTCCCTCTCTCTCTCTCTCTCTCTCTCTCTCTCTCTCTCTCTCTCTCTCTCTCTCTCTCTCTCTCTCTCTCTCTGTGTGTGTGTGTGTGTGTGTGTGTGTGTGTGTATGTCTGTCTGTCTGTCTGTCTACACATACACCTATTCTTACTCGATATCTCCTTTGTATGCCAATTTGTACCCGAAATGCTTCTTACACTGGGACCTCCGTCATACCCCCTCCCCCCCTTCTGACACCCCCCTCCATCGCTTCCCCAATTCCCATTTCATCTTTCCATTCCTTTCTCCTTCTCCCACTCCCCTTTCTCCATCCCTTCTTTCCTCCTTCCTTTCGATTTCTTGTTCCTCCTCCTCTTTCATCCTTTTATCTTCCTCCCTTCCCCCCTTCCCTCTTTCCTTTCCCCACTTCTCCTCCTTCTCCTTCCCCTTCTCCTGATCCCCTTCCATTCCCCTTCTCCCCCATTTCATATTTCCCTCTTTCGCCTCCCCTTCCTTCCCCTTCCCTCTTTCGTCTCCCCTGCCCTCCTCTTCCCCTTCCCTCCCCTTCTCCTTCTTCCCTCCCTTCTCCTTCTCCTTCTCCTTCTTCTTCCCTCCCCTTCTCCTTCTCCTTCTTCCCTCCCCTTCTCCTTCTCCTCCTTCCTTTTCCTTCTCCTCCTTCCTTTTCCTTCTCCTCCTTCCTTTTCCTTCTCCTCCTTCCTTTCCTCCTTCCTTCTCCTTCTCCTCCTTCCTTCTCCTTCTCCTCCTTCCTTCTTCTCCTCCTCCTTCTCCTTCTTCCCTCTCCTTCTTCTCCTTCTCCTCCTTCTCCTCCTTCCTTCTCCTTCTTCTTCCCTCCCCTTCTCCTTCTCCTCCTCCTTCTCCTTCTCCTCCTTCCCTCTCCTTCTTCTTCCCTCCCCTTCTCCTCCTCCTTCTCTTTCTTCCCTCCCCTTCTCCCCTCCCCCCTCCCCCCACCCCTCCCTGCCTCCCCGGGGCATTTTCGTGGCTTCCTTCTTGGTACTTGCGAGCGACCCCTCCTCTGCGCAGACTCTAATTTCTCGTTTGTTTGTCTGTCTGTCTGTCTGCTAAAGGTAACTTGGAATAATAAGCATGTAGTTAGATAGATAGATAGATAGATGTTTAGATATAGATATTTGATAGGTATGAAACCACGTTCAAGGGACACACATATGTATACGTACATCTGTACGTCGACACGTGCGCGCACGCATGCTCTCTCTCTCTCTCTCACACACACACACACACACACACACACACACACACACACACACACACACACACACACACACACACACACACACACACACACACACACACACACACACACTGACCCCCCCCACACACACACACACACTGACCCCCCCCACACACACACACACACACACACTGACCCCCCCCCCCCCCCACATACACACACGCACCTTTATTCATTCATATGGTATAACACAATTGGACTTCTTTATCAGTAGTTGCTTCTTATCAGCTAATCTCTATTTGGGTCAGCCAACCACTTGCTTTTCCTCATCCAGTCTTTTTAAGATAAAACACTGGCTAGGAATTGTACTGTCCATTAATTCGTAAATCATTCATTATTTTTATTACATTTATTTAGTTCTCTCTCCGGTCAGTCATACATCTTGTTATATGTTGTTTTTTTTTATTATGTCTCTATGTCTGTCTGTCTGTCCATGTGTTTATTTTATTTTAGTTTATCTGTCCACCCGTCCATCTATCCTTCCCTGCAAACAGCTGTTCCTCTATCCAGTAAAGACCCTGTCAGCCATCCGTCTAGTGCTCTTATCCATTTCAAATCAACTCGTCTGTCTGTCCATCCAGATATCTGTCTGTTTGTCCATCCATGTAACCATCCACCTTGTCATCCCTCCATAAATTCGCCCACACATCCACCCATCCATAATCCATCCATCCCATTCATCCATCTATCCACCTATAAATTCATCCACCCGCCCACACATAAAGTCATCCATCCTTCCATTCATCCATCCGTAAATGCATCAACCCACCCACCCATAGTCATCCACCCACCCACCCACAAATTCATCCACCCATCCATCTATCCACTCGCCCATAAATTCATCCACCCACCCATAAAGTCATCCACCCATCCATCCACCCATCCATAAAGTCATCCACCCATCCATCCACCCATCCATAAATTGATCCACCCCTCCACCTCGCCCGCCAGTCCAGCGTCCACTTATCCACCCAATCGACCATCCACTTTTCCAGTCGGTTACCGCGGCTTGCTAACCTAATAAGCTTTATGCAATAACGCCAATTTAAATGCTTACTTTTTATTCGTTTTTTCTCCTTTTTCTTTTTTCTCTTTTCTGTTTTCTTTTTTTGTGTGTTTTTTAATTCATTTCGTTTTTATTTTCATTTTTATTTTCATTTTCACTTTTTTTTTTCAAAGAGGAGGGGGAAATGGGGAGTTTTTTATGGCCTTTATTTGTGGATGTTAATTGTTCGTTTTTATTTAGATTTTTTTTATTACGCATATCTTTTGTTCATTTCCTTCACTTTCTTCATATTTTTTCTTCATCTTCGTTTTCTTTTTGTTTCTTTGTCTCCGTTTATTTTACTTTTTTTCGTCTCTGTTTTGCTTTCTTTCTTCCTTTCATCTCTTGGTTTCTTATTTCCTTTTTATCACTTCTCGTCTTTCTTTCTCTCTTCATCTCCTTCGCTCTGTTTCTTCCCTTCACTTTATTTTCTTTCTTTCCTTCCATCCTTTCTTTTTTTCTCTTTTTTTCTTCATCCTCATCGTTTTCTTTTTCTTTTTCTATCTTTCTTTCTTCATCTTCTTCGTTTTTTTTTCTTTCCTTCTTCCTCTCTCTATCCCCTTCGCTTCTTCTTTTCTTTCTACTCTTTCCCCTTTCTCCTTACCCCCCTTACTCACCCCTCTTACCCATCCTCCTTACCCACGCCCCTTACCCTCATGACTCATCCCCTTACGCCATTTACTCACCCCCCTTAGTTTTTTTTCTTTTTCTATCTTTCTTTCTTCATCTTCTTCGTTTTTTTTTTCTTTCCTTCTTCCTCTCTCTATCACCTTCGCTTCTTCTTTTCTTTATACTCTTTCCCCTTTCTCCTTACCCCCCCTTACTCACCCCTCTTACTCACCTCCTTACCCACGCCCCTTACCCTCATGACTCATCCCCTTACGCCATTTACTCACCCCCCTTAGTCATCCCCTTACTCATTCCCTTACTAACCCCCTTATCCCCCTTACTCACCCCCTTACTCACCTACTTACTCACCCCCTTACTCATCCCCTTACTCACCTACTTACTCATCCCCTTACTCACCTACTTGCTCGAACCCTTACTCACTGCCCCCTTCTGCCCGCAGGTCGCACAGCAGCAGGGCGTCCCGCAGCCGGGGATGCCGCAGGTGATGCAGCAGGCGCCGCAGACGGCCCACTCGCCGCACGGGGTCACGACCTCAATGCCCCCGCAGTCACAACAGGTCAGTTGCCTTCTACGTTGCCTACGTTCTCGCGCTCGCTCGCTCTTTCTTTCTCTCTCTTTCTCTTTCTTTCTTTCTCTCTCTCTTTCTCTCTCTTTCTTTCGCTCTTTCTATCTCTTTCTTTCGCTCTTTCTCTCTCTTTCTTTCGCTCTTTCTTTCTCTTTCTTTCGCTCTCTCTCCCTCCCTCCCTCTCTGTCTGTCTGTCTCCCCCTTGCCTTTACCTTTGCTCCCCCCCCCCCCCAAGTCACTAGTCAGGGCGCACTTTGCAATTTCTCTCTCTCTCTCTCTCTCTCTCTCTCTCTCTCTCTCTCTCTCTCTCTCTCTCTCTCTCTCTCTCTCTCTCTCTCTCTTCTCTCTCTCTCTCTCTCTTTCTCTCTCTCTCTCTCTCTCTCTCTTTCTCTCTCTCGGTTTTGTGTTTCTTGTACAAGTTATGGACAAGTGTTCATAACGTTTATATTTAGCTCTCCGTCTGCCCTGTAAGTGTACAAGCCTTCTGCCGGGACGGTGTGTAAACAGGAGCCCGTGTTTATTTCCCTTTTGCCTCTCCTTTCTCCTCCCTCCCCATGCCTGCCCTTTACTCATTTTCTCACTTCTCCACTTTTAGGCCTTTTTCCTTTTCCTTTTCCTCCTCCCATCTCATCCACCTCCTCCTCCTCCTCCTCCTCCTCCTCCTCCTCCTCCTCCTTCACCTTTTGTTCCCCAGTTTCTTCCTTCCCGTGCTATCTTTTTTCCCTTCCTCATCCTCATCTTCATGCTCCCCCAATCTCCTCCTCCACCTCCTCCCTCCTCCCTTCTACCTTCTCCCTCCTCCCCATCCTCCTCTGCCTCCCCTTTCCCTCCCTTCCTTTCCCTTCCCTCCCTTCCCTTTCCCTTCCCCTTCCCCTTCCCTTGTCTTCACTCCTTCCCCTTTCCCTTCCCTCCCCTCCTCTCCTCTCCTCTCCTCTCCTCTCCTCTCCTCTCCCCTCCTTCCCTCTTTCCTCTTCCCTGCCCTTCCCTTCCCTTCCCTCCTCCCCCTTCCCTTCCCTTCCCTTCCCTTCCCTTCTCTTCCCTTCCCTCCTCCCCCTTCCCTTCCCTCCTCCCCCTTCCCTTCCCTTCCCTTTCCCCCCCCCCCTCCTGCCCGGTCCCCACCAGCGCTCACTCCAGCAAGCGGCTTCGCCTTAATTAAGGTTCTTCACTCTCTCTTTATATCGTTTTTCCTCTCCCGCTATTTTTTGTTTTCCTTTGTTTTGTTTGTCCCTTCTCCCGCGTATTTATTATTGTGTGTTTTTTTGTCGTCATTATTTACCGTCGCTGTTTCTCTTGCGCGTCGATCTTCCTCCTCCCATTCTCTTTCTGTCTCTCCCTTTCTCTCTGTCTCTCTTTCTCTCTGTCTCTCTCTTTCTCTGTCTCTCTCTTTCTCTGTCTCTCTCTTTCTCTGTCTCTCTCTTTCTCTGTCTCTGTCTCTCTCTTTCTCTGTCTCTCTCTCTCTCTCCTTTCTCTCCTTCTCTCTCTCTCTCTCTCTCTCTCTCTCTCTCTCTCTCTCTCTCTCTCTCTCTCTCTCTCTCTCTCTCTCTCTCTCTCTCTCTCTCTCTCTCTCTCTCTCTCTCTCTCTCTCTCTCTCTCTCTCTCTCTCTCTCTCGCACTCTCTCATCCCTTCCCTTCCTACACTTTTCTCATTTATCCCCGTGTTCCCTCGCCCTCTGCCGCCCCGCGCTGTCACTAGGAGGCATTCCCACATGTTTCCCAGAGTGACCCTTCACCCCCCCCCCTCCCCTCCCTTCCTGTCTTTCTCCTCCTCCTCCTCTTCCTTCTCCCCCTTTTTTCCTTTTTTCTCTATTCGCCTTCCTCTTCTTTCGTGTCTCGTGTTTGTTATTGCTGTTGTTTTTTTTCTTCTCATTTCCTCCCAGTCGGTTATCCTACTTTCTGTCTTTTTACCTTATTCTTCTCCTTCCTCTCGTCTCAGATTCTCTTCTCTGTCTCCCACCTTCCTTCATTCCTCTCGTGTGATTTGTCTCTACTGTCTTTTATTCTCCCTTTTTTATTCGCTTTGTTTGTTATTCCACCCTTTCTGTTTCCTTTCATTCCTTTTTTCCTACTGTCTTTCTTTTCGTAATCTTACCTCCTTCTTTCCTCTTCCTCCTCCTCCTCCTCCTCCTCCTCCTCCTCCTCTTCCTCCCCCTTCCTCACCCCCTTGCCCTCCTCCTCCTCCTCCTCCCCCTCCTCCTCCTCCTCCTCCTCCTCCTCCTCCTCCTCCTCCTCCTCCTCCTCCTCCTCCTCCTCCTCCTCCTCCTCCTCCTCCCCCTCCTTTTCCTCCCCCCTCCCCCCTCTCCTCCCCCTCCTTTTCCTCCCCCCCCCCCCCTCCCCCAAGAAGCAGGACCCGCGTCTTCCCCGCGGGTCTTGTCCGGAGATTACTCGGGCGGGTCGCTGGAGGGCCTTCGTGTCGGGCGAAGCGAGCGGTATTACTGGCGATTAATGAAGGATTTAGGAATATTAGGGATGTTTTTGGAGATTTTATATATATGTGTGTATATATATATATATATATGTATGTATGTATGTATGTATGTATGTATGTATGTATATATTTATAATATATAAGCTTTTTGTTTGTTTGTTTTGTAGATATTTATCTTTATATATATTTAATCTCTCTCTCTCTCTCTCTCTCTCTCTCTCTCTCTCTCTCTCTCTCTCTCTCTCTCTCTCTCTCTCTCTCTCTTTCTCTCTCTCTCTCTCACTAATCTAAGACATGTATAAAGCCTACAGACGTTGGAGTGGAGTCGACACGAGAACCTCAGTCGATTGAACTGATTGCCTCCCTTGGGTTATTAGATATGAATGAGCTGTCTATTTAGCTTCCTCGCGGTAACAAGGTCTTGGGTCTATCGTGTGTCTGCTCTCGCGTTGGCTCTCTGCTGCTGCGAGGAAAAGGCTGCGAGGAATTCGGGTCTGATTTTGCGTTTGTGTTTGTGTGGAGAGGGTTTTTTTTTAGGGGGTGGGGTGGGAGGGGGGAGGGGATTATCGATTTTGTTATTTTTTTTATTTTTTTATTTGTGTGTGTGTGTGTGTGTGTTGAGGTGTGTTTTTTTTCGAAATGGGTGTTGGTTTGGGTGTTTGGAATCTGAAGTCTGTGTTTTGTTTTCTTTTCTAGTCAGATTGCGCGTTTGTGTGCGTGTGCGTGTGCGTGTGTGTGTGTGTGTGTCCCAGCTTTTAATATGGCTAAAACTTTAAATAATGGAAGCGTTCTACCCTGTTTGCAAAATTAAGCTGGTCCTCAGAAGCCCTGTTTGGAGTAGAAAATGTTTATATACATAGCCAGAGCGAAGAAAGAGGCAGACGGGAAAAGTAGATGAAGGAAAAAGGGAAAACATTTAAGACCAAAAAATAAAGGCAAACTTTGAGTAGACGGAATTCTCTCGCGTTGTGTAGAAAAGCGGAGGTTCTATAGGAAAGAGACGTTAGCTGCGCTCTCTCTCTCTCTCTCTCTCTCTCTCTCTCTCTCTCTCTCTCTCTCTCTCTCTCTCTCTCTCTCTCTCTCTCTCTCTCTCTCTCTCTCTCTCTCTCTCTCTCTCTGTCTGTATGCGGTTCTCTTTCTTGATTATTTGCCTGTTCCTTTGTTTTTCTCTCTCCCTCTCCCTCTTGATCCGTATTCCTCTTCTCTCTCCCTCTCCCACCTTATTCCTCCCTTCCTCCCTCTCTCACCCAACCACTCAGTCACTCCCTTTCTTTAGTTTCCTTTCCTTCCTTGGTCTTTCTCGCTTTCCCTCCCTTCCTGAATTTTCTCCCTCCTCTCTTCCCCCAGTTCCTTATCCGTCTTTCTCTATGACTTTCCTTCCTTTCTCTATGTTTCCTCCCCATCTTCCTCTGTGCATTTCTTCCAATTTTCCTCCATTTTCATCATTCCGTTCTTCCCTTTCCTCCTTCCTCGCTCCTCCCAGGTTTCCTCTCTCCCTTCCTCCTCCTCCTCCTTTTCCTCTTGCACTCTCCTACTTCCCTTCCTTCCTTTATCTCACCCCCCTCCCTCCCTCCCTTCTTCCCTTCCTCTCCTCCCCTTTCCTCTTCTTCCCTCCCTTCCTCCCCTCCCCTTTCCTCCTCTTCCCTCCCTTCCTCCCCTCCCCTTTCCTCCTCTTCCCTCCCTTCCTCCCCTCCCCTTTCCTCTTCTTCCCTCCCTTCCTCTCCTCTCCTTTCCTCTTCTTCCCTCCCTTCCTCTCCTCTCCTTTCCTCTTCTTCCCTCCCTTCCTCCCCTCCCCTTTCCTCCCCTCCCCTTTCCTCCTCTTCCCTCCCTTCCTCTCCTCCTCCTCTCCACCCCAGATTCCTCCTTCCCTCCCTTCCTTCTCCCCGTTCCCCTCGCAGAGCTCCCTCGGGTGTCCATATGGTCGGGATTTTCCACGCCCTTCCCGTGCACACTCCGACGAGGCTTCGCTTCGCTATGCATTCCAAGTAGATAATTCCAGTTATATATATTTACGGCAGGGACCATATAAACCTCTCTCGACCTCTCTTGACAATCGGCGTTTTCCTCATGGGCGGTGTGTAATCTTACAGTTTGACCGAAAACGTTAAAAAAAAGAATAATAATAAAAAAAAATGGTAAAGTCTGTGTGTGAGTTGCGTCCAATTCGTCGTCCTCTTCGTATTTAAAGCATTGGAGATGGAAGGAATATCCGGTCTTTGTTTACACCTTTTATTCGCAATAAACAATAAAATTTGTCCGGATCGTCGTTGCGCTTTATCTCTTCAAAATGTTATTGTGGGTTATTTTCGGCCGTCCATAGGAAGGAAGGGAAGGCGTCGGGAGGGCGAAATCAGCTGATACCGCGACCGAAATCAGCTGATATCGAGTCCTGTGACAGCTGGCGAGTTGCCGACGTTGATGTTTCCATAAATATTTTATTTGTTTTTGTTTTTGTTTTTTTTTGTTTTTTACATTATTCACGCGGTATTGGCGATTGTTTTTTTGTTTTTTTTTTGTGGGGGTGTGGGGGTGGTGGGAAGGGGGAGGGGGGACGTGTGGGAAATTAATTATGCCTCGAAATAAAGTTGTTATTAATCGAGTACGCTGTCGGCACTGTCGAATACGAAGCGAGTTGGGGGATTTATGGAGGAGTGTATTTTGGCCTGGGAAATATGGCACCGCCGAGTGTCCGTAACACATGGGGCGCGGGCTTCGTTCGGATCCGCGGCAGGGGGCGACGGCCGGGACTTCGCCTTCGTGGAATTTAACACTGTACATATGGGTGTTTTCGGTGTGATTTATTTTTTCCATGTTCTATGTATTTTTTTGTTGTTGTTAGTGAGGTTAACCTTTTTGGGAATGACGAGATAGTAAGAAATAAGACGTAAATAAACATTTCTTAATTCGCGTTTTCATCACATTTGTATAGCAAACCACTCGCCAATTATTGCACAAAATTGCACGAGTATGGAACGTTCCAGAGGATGTTCGGCTGAGTGAAGTTTTGATGTTTATTTTCCATTAAAGAGTTTATTGGGAAGTCTTTAAGAGTGTTTATTCCGATTTTTTTCTTCCTCTTTCTCTTCTCGTGTAATATTCCTTTTTGGAGGCGAGTGCGTCGGTGCGTTGTAGGAGTGGAGGTTTTAAATTTTATTCTTATTTATGCAAGGGATGGGAGAGAACGAGGTAGACAGGTAGATAGATGGAGGAATGGTGGACGAAGGTGGAGAGAACAAGATAGATAGACGAATGAAAGATGAACGAGGCAGATAGAGAAGGATATACATATACATATACATATACATATACATATACAATGTATATGTATATATGTGTAGAGAGAGCTAGGTAGATAGACAGAATGACGCAAAAGACAGACATATATATAGATAGACGGAAAAAGAGGAGATGAAAAAAACGGGGTGAAACAAGGAAAGCCGTAGATTTAGAATAAGGATAATCACAGTAATAAATAACATATAAAGAATACGGTTAAAAAAAAAACACGTGTTGACAGACAGGCTCGCCTCTCCCTCTCTCCCTCCCTCCCTCCCTCCCTTCGTCCGGGGCTGATGAAATCCCGCCGACTCAGAAGACACACATATGCACTTAGTCAGTCAGTCAGTCACACACACACACACACACACTGTGTATGTGTGCGAGAGTGCGAGGATGAGTGAAAGAGGGAGGGAGGGAGCGAGCTCGTGCGTACGGGAGATTGAGTGAGTGAAAGAGTGAGTGCGTGAGTGAGTGAAAGATTGTGAGTGCGTCAATGTGTTGTTCCATTCCTCTTGTTACTAAGTCCGTGAACTTTTTTTTTGTTCTACGAATATGCTATACGTCCCAGAAATATGTACAAGCGCGGTCTCAATAAAGTGTCATTGATTATAGACATTTTATTTGGGTGGATAATGCTCATATTAGTTTGCCAAGGAGAGTTTCAAAACAGTGGATGATTTATTTATTTATTTTTTTTTTTTTTTACATAGCTCTGGGTTTTTAGTCGCGCCACTGATATCTCAGAGGGAGAACCCTACCATCTTCCACCCCCTCCCCCTCTCCCTCCCCTCTGCCCCCCAACTTTTCCCTCTCCCCCTTCCCCTGCTTCCCCCTGTATTACCACCTTCCCCCTCACTCCCCCCCCCACCCCTCCCAGGAACTCATGGGGCTTCCCCAGGGGTTTTCGAGACTGGCCGTCCTTACCCCGTGGCTCGAGTCGCCGTCGCTGTCATTAAGTATCTCGGTGGTCGTGCGAAGAGGGTGGTCGTGCGAAGGGGGGGTGGTCGTGCGAAGGGGGGGTGGTCGTACTCTCGACGTCGCAGTGCTCTCAGAAACAACTTATTTCTGTTTTATTTTTCTGTGCAACGAAATGATAGGCCTACCGAGTTGCAAAGGAGGAGTAGGCCGGATGTAGCATTTAATGTTTAATCATCAAACAAACTATTTGATACTGCGTTTGTTGTTTGTGATTAAAGGATTGGGCGTATCATTTTATTCTCTTTTTTTGTTGTTGTTGTTGTTCATTTAATAGATCGGGTGTAGCAATTTAAGGTTTGTTAATTGAATGATTGAATGTAACCTTAATGTAATCAACAGCTCTTGAGATATTGATTGGAGATTTATCTGTGCTTCGAACACCATCCTTCTGGCTTCGTTTATGCGAACGCGTCTTCTGGCAATTGGACCGTGATAATAGTTACACCCCCCCCCCCTTTCATTTTTAGTTTTTGATAAGTTCCGAGAAGAATTGCTTCGTTATGCGCGTTTTTTTTTTTTTTTTTTTTTTTTTTTTTTTTTTTTTTTTTTGGGGGGGGGGGGGGGTGCGTATGTATATGCATTTGATAAAGAAGGATTTAAAAAGCAAGCAAGCAAGCAAACACGAATATATCGGTTTAACAATATGAATTATCGGTTTTTGACTTTTGGAATGTATTAGAGAGTGGGAAATCATTCACACTTCCACGGTGAAAGGAATGTGTTAATATTGTGTGACGGTTAATATTCAGGAGCCGTTGGCGTGTGTCCACGGCCCATTTGCAATAGCAGGAGACTTGCAAATTGCAATTCTGATAAAGTCAAGGTTTGCTGTGTGAAATGTAAAATGAAAAACAAATGCAAAATTCTCGAAGAGTTGAATTTGTATTACTTATTTAATATTTTCCACTTGATGTGTAATGTAGTAAAATATTCAACATTGAACATGTGAAAATTATTTTTTCTCTCTTTTTCTTAAATATTTCCCTTGAAGTACTTGGTGGTGTGGATGGCATGGAGGACAAAAAAGGAAGGAATAAAAGAAAGGTGATTATTCCAAATTCTTTAAAATTAGTAGCAACTAAAACAAGTATATATATTCACAGTGCTTAAAGCTTAAAAGAAAACAAAATCTCAAAACTAACCGGCAAATGTACGTAAAAATGCCTAAAATGCCACTAAGGGAAACCGCTTACAAATATTGGGATTCATAAAAAAGAAGCTTTTCCCTAAAACACATCACAAACTCCGAATCTCCGAGATTTTAAAAAGAAAGAAAATTCGAAAAAAAAGAACATTTAAAAAATTGAAAAGTGAGAAAGGGTGGGTGGAGGAGGAGAAAAAAGTAAAGAGAAAGAAAAAAAAAATTAAAGAGAGCAAGGACAAAATGATTTTCGAATTCAGTATCTCTTCTCCTCGGGCGTCTTCTGTTCCGCCCGCGGGCTTGGTGGTGCCTTGTTCCTGCTCTTGTTCTTGTTCTTCCGGTTATTGATGCTGTTGTTCTCCTGGGCAGCCACGACCGCCAGCATCACGGCGATCATGCCCCCCACCGCCAGGATGCCCGCGGTGAACGGCTCCATTATTGCCTCGATGGGGGAGGGGGGGGTGATAGGGCGCCGCGGAGACACCTGGAGGGAAAGGAGGCTAGAATTATTTTTTATTTATTATTATTATTATTATTATTATTATTATTATTTGCTTCTAATTGTGATTGTTTTAAAGCTGCATTTAACAATCCCTATTATATACTTTTTTTCTTGTTTTCGTTGCGTTGTTGCTTTTTATTTTATTTGTTTTGAAATTAGGTATTTTTTCCCCCAACATGAAACGTCGTAGGATAACTTTGGAAGCTGTAGTTTTGCATACGATCAGTTTTTAAGCACAAGAAAGGAACTAAAAAAAAAAAAAAAAAAAAAGATCTTTGGAGGAAAAAAAAACATCGCTGAAAATTTGCCAGCGACCACCGATGTAGATTCGATTATTCGATTATTCCCCCCACACCTTTACGAAGGCAAATAAATAATAGACACTTTTAAAAAAGCTAAAAATGAATTACTCTTAGGCACTTCCCGACTAGCTATATAAAATAACATTTATATTAAAGATATATATTATAGTTTTTTCTTCCTGTTAGAGCAGAAGAAAAGACCAGATGACAATAGATCTGAAACACGAATGACACATTTTGGTTCATTTAAATGGTGCCATTTAGAGGCTGCGGCTAAAAAGGCCAAAAGTCATCGAGGATTTTCAGCCAAATAAATGTAGTGTTGGGATTTTTTTTTTTTTTTTTTACGCCTGATGATGCATTGGTTCCGAAATGTAGTCGAAATGAAGTGGACAGTTTTGTTTATATTTATCCATCCCTTTCGTTTGGTGGGCGTTACACACACGAACCAGAATCATGTACGATTAAAAAAAAAAAAAAAAAAAAAAAAAAAAAAAAAAAAAAAAAAAAAAAAAAAAAAAAAAGATATTAAATATAGGGCGAACTAATATCTGCCCTCCCCCCCCCTCCTTACACCTCCCCTATAAAAAAAAAAGTTCTTTCCCCCCCCACTTTTCCATCCCCCTCCACCCCCCCCCCCCACACATTCTCCCAATCATTTCCCACATCCCTCCCCCCCCCTCCCCCATTTGCCCGCGTGCTGAAGCAATGGGGGTCGATTACTTTGCCACGGCGAGCGGGAGACGTGTAATGGGGGGGGGGGGGGGTGAGGAGGGAAGGGAGAAGGGATAGGAGGGGAGGAGGGAGGGAAGACAAGGAAGGGATAGGAAGGTAAAGGAGAGGAGGAGGAGGTAGGGAAGACAAGGGGAAGGGATAGGAGGGGGAGGGAATGAGGAAAGGAAGAGAAAAGGGAGACAAGGGAGAAGAGGAAAAAGTAAGTTGGGGGAGTGGGGAAGTCTTGGGCAAAGAGGAAGTAAAGCTCGAGTCCCTGGTAAAGGGGATGCTGGTGGGGAGGAAAGGAAGGAGAGGCTTTTGTGTGTGTGTGTGTGTGTGTGTGTGTGTGTGTGTGTGTGTGTGTGTGTGTGTGTGTGAGAGAGAGAGGGAGAGGGGGTGGGAGGTGGAAAGGGCGAGAGAAAGAGGGAGGGAAGTAATGAACGAAAGAAAAGTGTCGTCGGAAGGGGGAGAGCGCAGGGAGGGAGCCAGAGAGGAAGGGAGAGCAGGGAGGAGCCAGAGATGGAGCAAGGGGGAACTGGCCCGAGGCAAGGAGCCAGGGAGAGAGCACGGCCGAGGCAGGAAGGAGCCCGGGAGGGAGGGAGCAAGGGAGAGCTGGCCCGAGGCAAGGAGCAAGGGAGGGAGGGAGGGAGGGAGGGAGACAGGGCGAGAGCAGAGCCGAGGGATCCAGGGAGCCAGGGCGAGAGCAGAGCCGAGGGAAGGAGGCATCGGCGGCGACCGTGGCGGAGGCGCGGGCGGCGGCGAAGGTGTGCTGGGCGAAGGCGGGCGTCCTGCGCCTTTAATAAATACCTCCGGTCGTTACCATCAAAGGGCCGGCGGATTTGTGAGCAGCACAAAGGAGGGACGCGCCGGGCCCCGATTCCGAATTTTACTAATGAGGCGAATTTCTTATTAGAGCCACGAGCTGTGTACCACTTATTGCGTGCTGGGGTCCCCCCCCCCTCCGCCTCTGCCTCGACCTCGGCTCCCCTACCCCCCCCTTCTCCCACGCGCGCTTCTGCTCCTCTGCTACTCTACTCTCCTTCCCTCACCCTTCCTCCCCTCACCACCCCCCCTACGTATCTACCTTCACTCCCTCTCCCCCTCCCTCTCCCTCTCCCTCTCCCTGAGCCCACCCTACCGTCCCTTACTGTCCTGCGTCAGCTTCCCCCCCCCCTCCTCCTCCCCTCGACCCACCACATACGCGAGACCATTAAGCACTGCCCCCTGGAGGCGACAGACGCCCCCCCCCCTTCCTTCTCCCTCTTTTCCCCTCTCCAGCGCGGGTGAGGGAAGGAGAAGGGGGGGGAGGAAGCGAAAGGAAAGGGAAAGGAAGGGAAGGGAAGGGAAAGAACGGGAGTCAAAGAGAAAGAATAAAGACGGAAAGGGAAGGGAAGGGAAAGGACGGGAACGGAAGGGAAGGGAAGGGAACGAAGATGATGGAGGAGGAGGACGAGACTAAGGCTCCTCCCCATCTCCTTGAGGGGAAATCCGTGTCATGAGGCGACGTGTCCTCCCGGGAGCCGCGGACGCCGCTCGTGGCCCAAGACGGATTCCTGAAGGCGCGCCGAATCAGAATTCCAAACGCGACCGAAAGACGTTAAACCCAATCTCGTCAGGCGCGCGCGCACACACATGCACACACGCGACTGGGAAAAAATAGATAATCCACAATATGGGAAGCGGAAAAAAGTGAATGCGACGGATCCTCTTGTTTGCTTGCTTGCTTGCTTGCTTGCCTCGTCGTGGCTACCAACGCGCGACTCGTCGTCAGTGCAAGACCACTCGCTGTCATCGTCGATGGAAATAAAACGGTTCGTAATGAGGTGTTGGGGGGGGGGGGGGGAGGGAGACACACTCACTACTTTTCGCACCTCCCCCTCTCTCCCCATCCCCTGATTCCTACTCCTTTCAGTCTTTCTCCCTTTGTCCTTCCCGCCCCCCCCCCCTCCTTCAAGGACGTGGAGGTAGTGGCGGCACGGCCTCTGAAAGGAAGATATGGAGGAGGGAGAGGAGGAGGAGAGGTAAAAAGGGAGGAGGGAGAGATGGAAGAAAGAAAGGAATGGAGGAGCATGATGAGGATAAAGATAATGATGATGAAGATAATGAGAGGAAATGGGAGAGAGAGAGAGAGCGAAAGAGCGAGAGAGAAGGAAGGGGATGAGAGGGCAGCGCGCACAGAACGCGTCGGAGCCCAGCACGATAACCACAAGGCTGCCGACGTCGACGCCAAATTGCAGGTCTGTTGCACGAAGGTCGGGGGCGCGGGCGGAAATTATCGGCCAGTGATAGGGAGATAAGAGGGGGCCCAGTCGGAGACGGAGGGAGGGGGGGGGGGAGGGGGGGTGATTGGAGAGAGGAAGAGGAAAAGGAGGAAACAGGAAGGAAAGAAGGGAGAAAGAAATATATGCAAGGAAAAAAATAGTAATTGTTGAAGAGGAAGAAATAACGAAAAAAAAACGCGAAAGAAAGGAGAGAGAAAGAGAGAGAGAGGGGGGAAAGAGAGAAGAGGAGGAGATAAAGAAAGGAACCTGCAATGACTGACTTGACACACACACAAGACTCCTGTGATGGCAAAGACCGACATATATTCCAGTACAGAAAATCGTTCGTGCTTTCTCTCGTTCCTCCCGCGCACGTGTTTAGTCGGTCGAAGCAAAAGGTTGCGATGAAAGGATTGCAAGTGAATGTGTGTGGGGGGGGAGGGGGTTATAGGGGAGTGGGGATGGAGGGAAAGGGAGGGAGTGGGGATGGAAGGGGAGGGAGAGAGAGGAATATGGGAGAGGGAGAGTTAGGGACAGGGGGAGGGGGAGGGGAGGGGAGGGAGATTACCGAGACTTCATTATAAGGATCAGAGCCGCGCTTGACGAGGGGGGGGAGGGGAAGGGGGAGGAGGAAGGAAGGGAAATGGGAGGGGAGGGGAGAGGGGAGACCCGTGCCAGAAAGGAGAACGTAGAATGACAAAGATAATGAGACGAGGGAGAAGGAGGAAGGAAGACAGACAGACCTGGAAAACAATGAGGAGAAAAAAAATTGAGAAATATTGCAAGCTGAGGCAGCCATTACTCCCCCCCCCCCCATCAAAGGGAAATCGAAACGAGATCGGCCCGTAGTAGTGAGCGTTATGGCCGAACCCCAGGCACTAACTTAAACAAGCTGCACCTTTATCAGAGTTCACCCTTAAAAAAAAAAAAAAAAAAAAACGGGAGACCTATACACCTTCACCCACAGCGCCACCACATCCCCACATCTCCATCACCCACACTTTCCCATCCCCACCATTTCCCCCTCTTTCCCTACCCGACTGTGGGTGTGTGGGCGTTTCGTGGGTAGCGTCTGCGGGGGTGAATGTAAAGGTTTCAAGGTGAAGAGCTAATGGGGGGATATGTAGGGAGCTGTGTGGGTTGTCTGTGGGAGCGAGTGGAGATTCCTGTGGGTGTGGGGGAAGGAGATCTTGCGACACCATAAGAGACATGGAGACAAAAGAAGAGGAGAGAGCGAAGAGAAGGAGGAAGGAAAACAGGGCAAGAATGAAAAAAGAAGGGAGGAGGAGAGAGCGAAGAGGAGGAGGAGGAGGAGGAAGAGGAAGGAAAGAAAACAGGGCAAGAATGAAAAAAAAGGGGAGGAAAATGAAGAGCAGAAAGAAAGGAAAAAGAAATAGAGAAACGAGATGGAAAAGACGAGTTCAGACGCGAAAGTCAGAAGGGAAATGCGAGCAATAATTAAGGGATGAAGGAGAAAAAGAAAAGAATTTGTAGTAAAACGGGGATCAACCTCAAGAGATAAGAACGATGGTGAGAGAAAGAATAGGAAGAATAAGAGGAAGAATAAGGAAGGAGAGAGAGGACGAGAGAGAGAAAGAGTAAGAAGGAGAAGGAGGAGGAAGAGGGACAGAGGACGTAAAGAGAGAAAGAAAATAAGGAGATAGGAGAACAGAGGGAGTGTGTGTGTGTGTGCAGAAGAGATATTAGAAGGATAGCGAAGCAAAGGCTCCACTTGCTTCCACTGCACACAGTTCCATTCACGTCTCCCTCGGTCATCTCCTCGCCCCCACCCCCGCCTTGATTCCCCTTTCAACCTCCTTATTTTCTCTCTCTCTCTCTCTCTCTCTCTCCTTTCCATCACTTCACTTCCACCTTATCTTCTCTCCTACTCCCACCCCCACCCCCTACCCCCTCCCCCTCTCCCTCTCTCCCCCTCTCTCCCCTTCCCTCGCACCATCCCCCTCCTCCTCCCCCTCCCCCCCATCGCCACCCCCCTAAATTCTATCCTGTCGATTAACATACACTAACGATGCCATAATTCCCATCTGGTTTTAATTATTTTCGATTAGTTTTATTGCGCATTTCGACATCAGCCGTTGGACTTTCCTCGCCTAATCTGCGAAATCGCGCGACTAATCTCTCGCCTTGTGAATCGGGGAGTCGAGCGATTTGCCAGGCGAAGGTCTTGGGTGTTTTTTTTTTATATATAATGGATGGTTTTGTTTGTTTGTTTGTTTAAAATCGTTGGGATCTTTGATTTATGAACTCCGATGCTTGCTTTTTTTTACTTTTGGTTTAATTGTAAATTAATTATTGGGAATATGAACATTATTTTTGTTATTACTGTTATTATTTCACTTTTACGATCATCATTAAGCACTAGTATTTGTATCTATTATTATTTAATAGCTAATTTATTGTGGTATTATTAGAATGATTTGTCTGGCAAAAGCGGGATTCGGCGCCCGGGCCTGGCGTTCGGTCCGGCCAATCAATCGACCTTGAGAGCTGCAGTAAATTTGACAAGCACGAGCTTTTGATGGCGTCAATTTAAGGTGGATGTCGTTGTAATGCTGATAGGAACCGGCGTATTGGTGATAAGCACGTGGGTTAGAGAGAGAGAGAGAGAGAGAGAGAGAGAGAAGCGTGACAGAGACAGACACAGACACAGACAGACAGATTGACTTCGCATGTTCCTAAAATAGTTGCCTACTCCTAAGACAAAAAAAAAAGAAGAAATTGATGTAAATTAAAGTTGACATTAAGAACACGGCCTGTACCTGAGTTCGTAGCGACGTCTTCAGACTTTTCCAGAAGCACGAGGCAGAGAAACAGCAGGGGAGGGGAAGGGGGGAGGGGGGATGGTAGAAAATACTCCGAAATAACTCCTTTTAAGGTGAAGTCCCTTAAAAAAAATAATAATAAACTGGGACCGGCGAGACCCCCAATCAAATCACGACAGAAATCACTCGATCACAGAACTCGCACTGTTGACCGAAGCAGCGGCAGAGGCGTCGAGTGACTGCGACGCGAGAAAGCACGTTGCTATGAGAGTCAACGGGCAACATGACTAAACTTACTGCGTAGACAGGACCGGATGTTCGTAAGCCCTACAGCTGATAACTTCTTACCTGGGATGGGGGGGGGTTATTCACAAAGAATGAAAGAATGATCCTTAAGAGATTACGATAAGCAAACTTTTTTTTTTCTTAGTCGCAAGCTAGCAAGATTGGCGAATGGTGGAAGGATTTTGAGCTAAGGTTTAGAATATCCAGTTTGGGAGTGTTTTTTTTATAATTTTTATAGTAATTCCACAAATAGTTAAGCTCTGATGGATAAACACACTTACGGGTTTGGAGAAGAAACAAGACAAAACCAATGCGTTATTGCCTTGCAGTGAAGCTCTGTCTGGATTACTCGCGTCTTGTCCTGTGTCTTGAGAACTTCTACGAGCAGCGAGTGTCTCACCGAGTGGGTTCCTGAGCGAATATAAGGAGAGGGGGGTAGGGAGGGGGGTTTCAACAAGTGTTATTGAAGGCTTTTGGCGTTCTGCACACGCGGGCACGTAAGGAAACCGACTAAAAGGGGAAAACCGCCCTTCTGTTCCCCTGGCATACGATCCATTTCGACCTACGGTGCAACACCCCCGTACATATTGCCATCAGCACATGTGTTCTGCCAGAACGACGTCGCAAATGTTCGCATTTTCATTGTTGTCGACGAACTTTCCCTCTCTCTCTTTCTCTCGTACGAAACGATCTTGAGGGAAATGTTGAATATTCAGGATGTGCGAAGATAAAAAAAAATCTGAATTCAAACACAGGATCAACTGTCTCAAAGTCCTTGAATTAAAAAAAATATATAAAAAAAGAATGTCGTGTTTAAAGAAAGCCATTCGGTGTTATTTTGACGAGGGAGGATGTTAAATGGGGAACTTCTTTGGTTTGTTATTGTACAGCCGCCGCCCGAGTCCTCACGAAAACGTTATATTTATTTCTCGTAACGAAAGAGAAGGAAAAGGAAAAGGAGGAGGAAAAGAAGAAGAAGAAGAAGAAGAAGAAGGAGGAAATTGAAGAAGTCATAAAACCTTGTCTGCTTATTTTTTCGATCGATTTTTTTTTTTTTTTTTTTTTTTGTGTGTGTTATCCACGAAATCATTTAAAAGGCAAGATATAAAAATATATATAATGTTTATAGTTCAGATTGAGATTTTTTTCGTAAGTATCATTTAAATGTATTAGTAATTA